TTATATCTGGTCTGGAGCTGTTTTTGGCTCATTCTATTGCTCCAGAAAGTACCCTAACTCCATCTTCCATGCTTTATCTTTACAAAAGTCAGATTAGACCTAAAATGGAGTATGACTGCTATATCTGGTCTAGAGCTGTTTTGGCTCATTCTATTGCTTCAGAAAGTACCTAACTCCATCTTCCATGCTTTATTTTTACAAAAGTCAGATTAGACCTAAAATGGAGTATGACTTCTATATCTGGTCTGGAGCTGTTTTGGCTCATTCTATTGCTTCAGAAAGTACCTAACTCCATCTTCCATGCTTTATCTTTACAAAGTCAGATTAGACCTAAAATGGAGACAGATATGACTGCTATATCTGGTCTAGAGCTGTTTTGGCTTATTCTATTGCTCCAGAAAATACCTAACTCCATCTTCCATGCTTTATCTTTACAAACGTCAGATTAGACCTAAAATGGAGTATGACTGCTATATCTGGTCTGGAGCTGTTTTGGCTTATTCTATTGCTCCATACCTAACTCCATCTTCCATGCTTTATCTTTACAAAAGTCAGATTAGACCTAAAATGAATGACTGCTATATCTGGTCTAACTCTCATTCTATTGCTTCCCTATCCATCTTCCATGCATTATCTTTACAAAAGTCAGATTAGACCTAAAATGGAGTATGACTGCTATATCTGGTCTGGAGCTGTTTTGGCTCATTCTATTGCTTCAGAAAGTACCTAACTCCATCTTCCATGCTTTATCTTTACAAGAGTCAGATTAGACCTAAAATGGAGTATGACTGCTATATCTGGTCTGGAGCTGTTTTGGCTCATTCTATTGCTTCAGAAAGTACCTAACTCCATCTTCCATGCTTTATCTTTACAAAAGTCAGATTAGACCTAAAATGGAGTATGACTGCTATATCTGGTCTGGAGCTGTTTTGGCTCATTCTATTGCTCAGAAAGTACCTAACTCCATCTTCCATGCTTTATCTTTACAAAAAGTCAGATTAGACCTAAAATGGAGTATGACTGCTATATCTGGTCTGGAGCTGTTTTGGCTCATTCTATTGCTTCAGAAAGTACCCTAACTCCATCTTCCATGCTTTATCTTTTACAAACGTCAGATTAGACCTAAAATGGAGTATGACTGCTATATCTGGTCTGGAGCTGTTTTGGCTCATTCTATTGCTCCAGAAAAAGTACCTAACTCCATCTTCCATGCTTTATCTTTACAAGAAGTCAGATTAGACCTAAAATGGAGTATGACTGCTATATCTGGTCTAGAGCTGTTTTGGCTCATTCTATTGCTCCAGAAAATACCTCCAACTTTATCCATCTTCCAAAATAGTATGACTTTATCTGGTCTGGAGCTGTTTTGGCTCATTCTATTGCTCCACTTTAAAGAGTCAGATTAGACCTAAACGTCAACTCCATCTTCCATTAGACCTAAAATGGAGTATGACTGCTATATCTGGTCTGGAGCTGTTTTGGCTCATTCTATTGCTCCAGAAAGTACCTAACTCCATCTTCCATGCTTTATCTTTACAAAAGTCAGATTAGACCTAAAATGGAGTATGACTACTATATCTGGTCTGGAGCTGTTTTGGCTCATTCTATTGCTCCAGAAAAGTACCTAACTCCATCTTCCATGCTTTATCTTTACAAACGTCAGATTAGACCTAAAATGGAGTATGACTGCTATATCTGGTCTAGAGCTGTTTGGCTCATTCTATTGCTCAAAAAAGTACCTAACTCCATCTTCCATGCTTTATCTTTACAAAAGTCAGATTAGACCTAAAATGGAGTATGACTGCTATATCTGGTCTGGAGCTGTTGTGGCTCATTCTATTGCTTCAGAAAGTACCTAACTCCATCTTCCATGCTTTATCTTTACAAACGTCAGATTAGACCTTAAATGGAGTATGACTTCTATATCTGGTCTGGAGCTGTTGTGGCTCATTCTATTGCTTCAGAAAGTACCTAACTCCATCTTCCATGCTTTATCTTTACAAAAGTCAGATTAGACCTAAAATGGAGTATGACTGCTATATCTGGTCTGGAGCTGTTTTGGCTCATTCTATTGCTCCAGAAAGTACCTAACTCCATCTTCCATGCTTTATCTTTACAAAAGTCAGATTAGACCTAAAATGGAGTATGACTGCTATATCTGGTCTGGAGCTGTTTTGGCTCATTCTATTGCTCCAGAAATACCTAACTCCATCTTCCATGCTTTATCTTTACAAAAGTCAGATTAGACCTAAAATGGATGAATGCTATATCTATCTGGTCTGGAGCTGTTGCTCCAGAAAGTACCTAATTCCATCTTCCATGCTTTATCTTTACAAAAGTCATTCTTTCAGATTAGACCTTAAATGGAGAAATATCTGGTCTGGAGCTGTTTGGCTCACCTCAGAATACTAACTCCATCTTCCATGCTTTATCTTTACAAAGTCAGATTAGACCTAAAATGGAGTATGACTGCTATATCTGGTCTGGAGCTGTTTTAGCTCATTCTATTGCTTCAGAAAGTACCTAACTCCATCTTCCATGCTTTATCTTTACAAAAAGTCAGATTAGACCTAAAATGGAGTATGACTTCTATATCTGGTCTGGAGCTGTTTGGCTCATTCTATTGCTTCAGAAAGTACCTAACTCCATCTTCCATGCTTTATCTTTACAAAAGTCAGATTAGACCTAAAATGGAGTATGACTGCTATATCTGGTCTGGAGCTGTTTTGGCTCATTCTATTGCTTCCAGAAAACCTAACTCCATCTTCCATGCTTTATCTTTACAAGAGTCAGATTAGACCTAAATGGAGTATGACTGCTATATCTGGTCTGGAGTTGTTTTGGCTCATTCTATTGCTCCAGAAAGTTAACTCCATCTTCCATGCTTTATCTTTACAAAAGTCAGATTAGACCTAAAATGGAGTATGACTGCTATATCTGGTCTGGAGCTGTTTTGGCTTTCTCTATTGCTCCAGAAAGTACCTAACTCCATCTTCCATGCTTTATCTTTACAAAAGTCAGATTAGACCTAAAATGGAGTATGACTGCTATATCTGGTCTGGAGCTGTTTTGGCTCATTCTATTGCTCAAGAAAGTACCTAACTCCATCTTCCATGCTTTATCTTTACAAAAGTCCTTAGATTAGACCTAAAATGGAGTATGACTGCTATATCTGGTCTGGAGCTGTTTTGGCTCATTCTATTGCTCCAGAAAGTACCTGACTCCATCTTCCATGCTTTATCTTTACAAAAGTCAGATTAGACCTAAAATGGAGTATGACTGCTATATCTGGTCTGGAGCTGTTTTGGCTCATTCTATTGCTCCAGAAAGTACCTAACTCCATCTTCCATGCTTTATCTTTACAAGAGTCAGATTAGACCTAAAATGGAGTATGACCTATATCTGGTCTGGAGCTGTTGTGGCTCATTCTTTGCTCCAGAAAGTACCTAACTCCATCTTCCATGCATTATCTTTACAAAAGTCAGATTAGACCTAAAATGGAGTATGACTGCTATATCTGGTCTGGAGCTGTTTTGGCTTATTCTATTGCTCCAAAAGTACCTAACTCCATCTTCCATGCTTTATCTTTATCTTTACCTAAAATCAGATTAGACCTAAAATGAGTACCTAACTCCATCTTCCATGCTATATCTGGTCTTAGACCTGTTTTGGCTCATTCTATTGTTTTTGGAAATCTATTGCTCCACCTAACTCCATCTTCCATGCTTTATCTTTACAAGAGTCAGATTAGACCTAAAAATGGAGTATGACTGCTATATCTGGTCTGGAGCTGTTTTTTTGGCTCATTCTATTGCTCCAGAAAGTACCTGACTCCATCTTCCATGCTTTATCTTTACAAGAGTCAGATTAGACCTAAAATGGAGTATGACTGCTATATCTGGTCTGGAGTTGTTTTGGCTCATTCTATTGCTCCAGAAAGTACCTCACTCCATCTTCCATGCTTTATCTTTACAAAAGAGTCAGATTAGACCTAAAATGGAGTAAAATGGTTATGACTGCTATATCTGGTCTGGAGCTGTTTTGGCTCATTCTATTGCTCCAGAAAGTACCCTAACCAGAAAGACTGCTATATCTGGTCTAACTCCATTCCATGCTTTATCTTTACAAAGTCAGATTAGACCTAAATGGAGTATGACTGCTATATCTGGTCTGGAGTTGTTTTGGCTCATTCTATTGCTCCAAAAAGTACCTAACTCCATCTTCCATGCTTTATCTTTACAAGAGTCAGATTAGACCTAAAATGGAGATGACTGCTATATCTGGTCTAGAGCTGTTTTGGCTCATTCTATTGCTTCAGAAAGTACCTAACTCCATCTTCTTCCATGCTTTATCTTTACAAAAGTCAGATTAGACCTAAAATGGAGTATGACTGCTATATCTGGTCTGGAGCTGTTTTGGCTCATTCTATTGCTCCAGAAAATTAACTCCATCTTCCATGCTTTATCTTTACAAAAAAGTCAGATTAGACCTAAATGGCATCTGCTTATCTGGTCTGGAGCTGTTTTGGCTCATTCTATTGCTCCAGAAAGTACCTAACTCCATCTTCCATGCTTTATCTTTCAAAAGTCAGATTAGACCTAAAATGGAGTATGACTCACTGCTTATCTGTTTCATCTTTTTCATTTATTGCTTCAGAGAAAGTGACTGGACGACCTAAAAAAAGTCATAGACCTTCAGATTATGACTGATATATCATCTAGAGCTATATTGGCTGTCTGGATTGCTGTTTGGATATATTCTTTATCTTTAAAAAATCAGATTAGACCTAATATGGAGTATGAATGCTTACTATTTCTTTTGGCATTCTTTCCAGAAAACACCTAATGATAATTTAAAGCTTGGAAAATTAAGATCCACTATATGCTTGTTTAAAGCTCATTTCGTCTGGTTTGGGCATTTGTTGTCTTTGAGCTCTTGTTCCATTGTATCTGGTTAGGTGTGACTGGATGCTTTGATTAAGGAAATTTTCTTTTCTTTCATCATTTTGATTCATTGTACAATATCGGAGCTGCAAAATTAGAGGAAAATATATATAATCAGTAGTGATATATATATATATATATATATATCCAAGCAAATAAAGTACTTAATGGATATAGATTCGACAGTATGAAAAAAACAGAAAATCAAACAAAAAAAGATCTTAATATGTCCATTATGCTTTGTATTAATGTTAATATAAAATAGAACTGTGTGCGGATTACTTTTTTCTTATTTAAACCATCTTCATGGACATTTTCATTTAAACATAATATAACATTAGAACATATATAAAATTTAACATCTTAATATTAAGAAAAGATTTATGGACATACGTTTCGCATTTATATTCATAATCCATTTAATATATAATATATAATATTTTATATATAAGATCATATATATATATATATGATCATATCAAATCAGCGTGGTAATCTGTTTTGTCCGATAATCCAAGAAGGTCTTTTTAATATAAGATATTAAAAAGATAGATCCATGTAGAGATCTCAGTGTATTTCATACAGAGCAATATGATATACATCAAAGGAAAAAACTTAACACATCTCAAGAGATCTGATAATAAATTTATTTCGACAGGTAAGTTTTTAATAACTGCTTCATCAAACCAGGATTACAAAATGATTTAAATTTATCCAGACAATATGTAAAAAAATAAAATTAAAATGAATCACAAGAGAACAGGAAGTAAGTGTCAACTGTGTGACCTAGAAAAATTTATCTGTGGATTTATATTACTGAAGATATGGGTGGGAAAGCAAAGCATTGACAATGAACAGGGATGGGAGGAGGAAGTACAAATGAACAGGAATGGGAGGAGGAAGTACAAATGACAGCTAGTGAAATACATTGGGATCAAATCAAAATTTAAATCATTATTTAATTTACAACAAATAACAATCATCATCACATATATAAAAAAAAGGAGAAAAATTGACATATATATATATATATATATATATATATATATATATATATATATATATATATATATATATATTGTTAAATATAACAGACAATGAATGTCTATCATGTCTGATCATGAACTGTTCTAAACTTTGTATGTTTTGCTTTAATTTTGGGTAAAAAAAAACCAATATTGCCCAACATTTTCACCCAAAATTAAAATTATATTTAGCAATATATTTGTAAATAATGATCTGCTACCCCAATACACTATATATATATAACTTAAATTCAATATATCAAATTCATCTTTATCATTATAAAATACAATGTATGTGTCAACTTTCCCAAATTACAAATAATCCCTGTCAGATAAGGAGGAAATTCTGTTCATTTTGGGAGAAATATGGCCCAAGCTTTTGATTTTCTTAAGTCATTATCATAGTTAAAGACAAATGGTGAGTATTGTGACGTGCATGTGTGTTTATTTTATTTATTCATTTTTTTAATTACATTTGAGGATGCAGGCTCTTAAACTATAATTATTTTTATGTATAGATGGTTGTTTTTGTTGTATGAGTATTGCTTTGAGGATTATAAGTCTGCTTTTACTGTTTGAATTTGCTATTATTTTGGCACTGTTTGTGAGTAGTTGTCTAATATTTCTATGATCCTTATTGTCTGATGACGCTCTGATTTTACACAAAAGATCTGTTGTCTTTGATAACATTTTTCTTAAAGAACATTTGCTGCCTAAATACACAGAAAATATATATATATATATATATATATATATATATATATATATATATATATATATATATATATTCGCTTAAGCATGCGGATTGGTTGTTACAAACATCCAATTGGGTGTGTGGAAAACGTGGACTTTCTTTGTCGAATTCATTAAAAGGCCAGAGTAGCTGTTAGGATTTGACTGAGAGGGGAAATCAAGGATTGATCTCCCCTGATTGGGTCGACTTGGTGATGGGAAGTATGATGTTGAAAGACCCGAAACTCCCTGTTGAACCAAATCAAATAACATCACTGACGACCCCATCGGGAGCCTATTTAAGAGCGTATTTTTTAATATAGATATATATGTATACCCTTGTGCAAATTAATCGAAACAAAACAAATAACTCCGTTATTATTTACTTTTTTTCATATTTTTTCAATGAAACATGACTGTGCACATGTTAGTACTTTGTATGTCCATTCCACAAAGTCGTTCCTTGTAGCTTGACCACAGATTCTCAATTGAATTTAAATCAGGAGAGTTTCTGAGCCAGTTGATAGTACTTTGATTTGCTCACTGGTAAGGCTTGCCATTGTGTTCATGCAGTGTTACAATTTTTGTACACTTCCTTGGAGTAATGTCCATGGCAGACAATGGCTGTAGGACAACTAATGGACAGTCGAGACAATCACAGATGACGCAATAATTTTCAAAGCCAAACAAATTTCATCATACAACCTGAAAATAGATTCATATTACTGCAAACCACTGTAAATGACCTAATCTGAGGAAAAAATAGAAATCAATTACACCATCACTACTGTGGGTCTAAAACTGTCTGTATTGTGAAAGAAAGGAAACTAAAGCAGTTGTTTCAATTAATTTGCACAAGGGTGTATATATATCAACAGCAGCAGAATCTGTTAATATGTATATAGGTGCCTCCAAAAAAGCAATAACTAAGGTTTAAAATTAATTTTTAAAAATCTTTCCTGAAACTTTTATTTCAATTTTAATTCTAAGTCAATCGATTAAATTTAATATTCCTAATAATCAAAATACTCTGCTGTATTTCAAAATTAATTTAAATTGATTGGAATTTTTTTATTATTATTATCAGTAAAATCACTAAAATTGTCCATATTCATAAATCTATCAACACAATTCTCTTTATTAAAAAATCTTGCAAAAATAAAATATACTTTTCTGAATATTTATTTAAGGAAGATTAACTGATTTACAGTTTACTTCATCTGAATTAAAACAAATATTACTTACTTTTAGTTTAAAATATCACCGAAAAACATTTTTTAACATGGAGGTGGATGTTATTATGAGGTGCTGACACATCTATCAACAACTTGATGTTTGGAAAATTTATGTAAGAGGAGATAATTTTAATAAAATTACATGGCAAATGCAAAATATATGCCTTTTTTTATAAAATTTACAGAGTAAGAGGCACAGTTTATAGTGATACATGGGAAGATAATAGTTAACCCTAGACTTGAACAGGTTTAAATTTACTGCCCTGGAAAACATCCTCTTGGGAGTCAGTTCCAGAAAGCAAGCAGTTCCTGGAAAGAAGTTGCTCAAGTGAAATTTATATCTCACCAATGAAATACAAAGAGATTTAGTGCTAAATAAAAAAAAAATCCTAAGTGAACATCATCTAAATGTGCTAATTCCATAATTTTTTGCATGGGTTTTGTAGAAGTATTCATCCCCAAGAAAGATTAATGTGAGAAAAAAAAGGTTCACGGTCCTTCACCAGATTCTTTATCAAGAACTGGAATCACGATACCAGTTTGGACTTTAGAAGAAAAAAAAGTTAAGCTTACCTGGTCTGATGTGGCCTGTACGATTATTGTTGATAAAATCTCTGATGTCATCCTGGATGTCACACAACTCTAACTGCTGGCGGATATTTTCATAAGCCTTCAGGGACAGAAAGGCAAAATATGTATATGAATATGTATAAAATATCTATTGCATAGTTATTTTGAAATGTATATTTTCACTATGCGAATATTAAAATGATTCACTCAAAGTATACCAAAGTGGATCAATAAGTCTGTAACTTGATTATGAGGTTATTAGCTGAATTTTGATTTGAAATTTTCACTGTATCAGTATAAATTATATTTACCATAGTAAATAATGTAAATAGTTATAACTCAGACAGAAGGAAATCAGATGATAATAACAACAAAGATGAGGACATTTGTCTGAATGTAAAGAACTATAACTCCTCATTCCAGAAATTCAGACAAAAGACAATTATGCTGAAATGTAAATGTCTCAAATAAATGAATTTTTTCATCATTAGACTATGGACCTATGATATCAGAATTCAATTCGATTAACCAAAAAGCAGGTTTTAATAACATAACACCTTTTTTTGTCTGGGAAAATACCTATAAAAAGATAATAATAAAATAGATACTGGTTAAGGATCTTAAAAATTTTAATTATAAATTTTAATTAAGTCGCTCTTAAATAGTTCAATTACATGAAAAGATCCACTGACAGCTTAAAATTCCTACTATCTCCATAACTGCCATGGCCTTTTCAGATGTAGGAGATCATAGTCATCCACAGTTTCCTTTTCTTTTGTGACAGAGAGAGTCTGGGAAACACACACACACACACACACACACACACACACACATATTTTTTTTTTAGTGAAATTGGAGTGGATTTGAACAGCGAAATTAGATCAGAGCATTTTTGTTTACTGATGGTGAAACCTGATCTAGGGCAGAAGTTGTACCCATTGAATTTAGGTCATCAGTAGACAATGGAAATGGACGAAATAATTTTTATTGATTAAAACCTGGAATAGAGCTGAGTAAGCAAGGAGGAACTTTAGAATTCACATGATTTTGGTTGAAACAGCCAAAACCCCATGATAATCACATGTGAAGTAGTAGGGCCAAGGTTCAGTTGTAACTAGCCGGATTTTTCTATATAAACGCATAGCTATGCTGAAAAAGAGGCAGACTGAAGAAGCAGATGGAAGAGGCAGACGGAAAAGAGAGACAGAAGAGAATTAGCCCGGGCAAGAGTTGGGCTAGAGACAGTGCAGAGTCGAGTTGGAGATTCAAGAAGGAGAGAACGTGACGTCAGAGATTGAGCGAAGTGTCCACTAACATGTACTGTTGATATAAGTACCGCTGCTTCTGCTACTATGAATATTACTACTACTGTTACTACTGCTAAGGAGGAATGCCACTATAAACTTTAAGCTGCGCACAGAAATCTTATTTCCCCATCGCAAGAGTCGTATGTCATTCTGAGATGATTTAACAACAAGTTAATCATAACACACTCTCTCTCTGTCCAGAATCCAGTGTATGCATTTTTATATCAATTACTTTTCTTTTCTGTAACCCATTTCTTTTCTATACTATTCTTTTCTGCTATATAAAAGACATTAACAATTCAACCATTGAATAGTTGTTTGTCCGGCTTTCTGCAGATATTAATTTTTTTTTTTTTGCTGCATTCTTAATTTCTTAGTGCAGACTCTCCAGCCATGTCTACATCTTCAGTCGACCCGGAATGGATGAACATCACTTCTGCTTTCTGGATCAAACCAAACACAACATGGGCAGGAAGCAGGATTAAACCAGTGGACCGGTCGAATAATCTATGGATGCTCAGGGGACCTACGGCCACTCCCTTAAGTTTGGTTAGGACTGAGTAGACACCTCAACTCAGAGAGTAAGACGTTGGAGGTTGAAGGTCTGGGGTGAAAGTGTTAGACTTTTAATATCAATAAATTTCTGTCAAACAAAAAGACAAAATTTACTCCATGAAGTATTAAGAGACAGGAAATTTTTGTAAGAAACAAAGAAAAGAGTGTTCAACTGATGTGAAATACGGTACTCCTATGTGGCAGTGCATACTGGATAATTTCCTTACAGGTGAAAAGGAGACTTGAAGCAAGAGAAATGTGGTTCTATAGAAGATTGCTGAGAATACCATTGACTGAACATATGAGTAACAAGGAAGTTTTAAGAATAATTATACATGGGAAATTATGGTAGTGAGGAAAGAGGGCCTGGAGAATTTGATATTCACATGACATATTGAAAGTAAGATAAACAAAAGGAAACAAGTTTGTATAAATCGATAACAGAACAGGGTCTGGAAGAGATAGCAAGAAAACAAACATTGTTTAGAAATCCAAAGGATAGAAAGTAGTAGAGAGCCATAACCACCCATGTCTTAAAGGGACATAACAAGATACAAAGGTGTGAGTAGCTTAACAATTAACAGCATAGAAAGAAGAAAATGGTATGCTAAAATCACTTTGCACTGACAGTATTGGGGAAGGCATGAAACCATCTCTTCTCCACCACCTAGCTTTATGATTGATTGATTCATTCATTTTTTTACAGCTTATCAACCCTTTGCAGATTATTTAAAGCCAGAAAATATTTAACCCATAGCTGGAGGGAGAAGAGGTGGATCCATACCTTTCCCAATCAGTATTTGCACGTAAGTGAATATAATGAACCCAACTGGAATTGAAACTCAGTTCTCCAATTAACAATTCTGAGCTATTATCCATTACGTCACTTGCACATCCATGTTTACAGCATTTGGTATTCCCAAGCAGTCATTCATATAGGTAGTGACCAGGCTTGATGTTGCTTAACTTTGGTGATCATATGGGAACTAATGTTTCAATGTGATGTGGCCATAAGCCTCCATCCAACTTTATGCAAAATACACAAATGCAGGCACTCACACAGATAAGAAAGTATTACAATAAAAACAAGATAATCCTTTATGAATAAAACTGTAGTTTACCTTGTCATCATCAACACAGGCCTGAGATCTGGCATTGCACACAATCCATAACAATTCACGTTCAAAATGTATTCTCTCTTCTTCATCTCTTTGAAAAGTCTGTAAAAATTAAGATATCAGCTTCAGTTTTTTATTCACAATTTTAGGTACCATTGTTTTCTAATTATGCATTTTCTGAGAAACAAATAAGAAAATGAAAAATTCAAATTGTTAAATAAAAAATACATTCATTTTATTTTTTATATTATTTAGAACAAAAAGTAATTATTCTTTAGTTGTCTCAATTCTTAAATGAATTATTGTTTGTATTAGAATTTAATTATGTTGATAAACTATATCTGGCCACAAGGCCTCTGATTAAGAGATTGGAGGTTCTGAGGTGTGTGAAACCACCTCTTAATTGCTGTTGTTCCCAGGTCCACTATGACCTGGGGTGGTAGCACCTGTTAGGGTTCAAGCTATGGGAAAATAGTGAATCCCAAGCAAAAACAAAATACTATGAAAGTATAAAAATACTTTCTTATAGTAAAAATACCAGCAATAGATTTTTATATAAATAAATGACCAACAATTCTAGTAAAATTACCAACAATACATTTTATAGTAGAATTACCAGCAATACATTTTATAGTAAAATGACTAACAATATGTATTTATAGTAAAATGATCAACAATACATATTTATAGAAAATTACCAACAATACAGTTTTAAATCAAAATGATCAACAATACATTTTATCTATAGCTGAAGGCATACAATTGCATTCAAAATATATTTAGTTGAAGCCATAAAATTGTGTTCAAAATATTTAGATTTTGTCATTAAATAATCCATAGAAATGTTGATATGTCATTTAACAAAATCAAGCACCAATTTTATTAAGTTTCCTTCATCTTATTGTCGTTTTTTTAATAAACGATGTCCTGAGATAATTGACCTCTGAACATTAAAGTAGCATGAAATCAATTCTTAAATGACTTGAACTCATCTTTCAATGAGAGACTAATAGATAAATAGATATTGATCCTGCACGCACACACACACACACACACACACACACACACACACACACACAAAATCCTTGGATCAAATTTCAAGGATCTAGTATATTCAGTAACTTTGAGCAAAGATGGTCAGAGATGATCTGCTATGGTTAGATGAAGTATTTATCTTATTATTTCATAACTGGTTTTGCTTTGTCATCTTGCTGTTTTCATCAAAGTGTTCTTGGAGAAGTACTGTCTGACCATTAAAGTAAGTAGCCTGAAGTTCCTCCTAACAAATCCTGAACTCTGAGAGACTCTTTTCTTCTTTCCATCAGTATGGTTAATACTAATCTCCAGGTTAGTTGCATGTTGTGCCTTCTCGGGATAATGTTTTTTGCTGACATGAAGTGGAAAATCTATATTGAATCCATTGCTAGGGCTGTAGCTAAGAAAGTTGGTTCACTGTGTCGTGCTAGACAATATTTCTCTCCTGAATGTATCTTACATATCTATAAGTCTACCATTCACCCATGCCTCGAATATGGTCCAGTGCTCCTACTTTATATTTAGAGATTCTTGATAAAATCCAAAGAAGAATCAGCAATATTATTGGTCCTGACCTGGCATCTTGACTTCAGTCACTTTACCATCACCATGTGCCTTTTCTATAAATACTTTCATGGTAATTGTTTGGATGAATTCTTTACTATGGTACCTAGAATGAATTTAAGCACAGTACGAGATTGATGGCAAGTTTCATCAATTCACATTTGAATTGGCTAGATAGAACTGTAAGTTCTATGTTAAGTTTTTTTTCTCACACTTCTTGCTTGCAGAACTCTCTTTAGGCTCCATGCCTTCCAGGCAAGTTTGATCTTCAAAAATTAAAGTGAAATGTCAATAAGTTTCTTACTGTACTCTTCTATTCTTGTTCTTCAACAATGCTTTGGTTTTCTAGTTCTCTCACACCCAGGAACACTTTGTGTCTTGGTGGTTTTACTACCTTACATGGGGTGAATTCAATTAAAAAACAAAACAAAAATAAACTCATATATCAAGAAACTCATCTTATATGGATGATGTTTTCAGTAATTCAGTACATCCTGGGCAAGATGATAAACTATATTTGCATCCTGGATAAGACGATAAACTCTGTCCAACAGCAAGACCTCTGTTCAGGAGGTTTTGAGGAGTGTGGAACCACCTATTAATCGCTGGTGTTCCCAGGTCCACGCTGACCTGGGGTGGTAGTACCTGTTAGAATCCCAGCTATATGCAAACAGTTAACCCCTAAACTGGGGTCAAAACACTATGAAAGTATAAAAATAGGTTTTAATTTTTTGTAAAAAATTATTACCAGAAATACATTTACAGCAATATATTTTTGATGAAAAAAAAACAAATTTTATCAGCAATAAAAAATTTTGTCAGCATTAAGGTTGATATGCCATAAAACAAACCAAACCAATAATTCAGCCATGAAAGCTTCATGGTTTATCTTTCAGCCAATTGTTACTCTTCTCCTCTGAAGAATATTTAATCCTAAGTCGTAACCATCTGAATTCTTGGATTAAATATTTTCATTATAAATTTTTGACTAGTTTTCCTTTCATCTTATTTTTGTTGCTTTTTATCCCAATGTTCTAAGTTTGATTTCCTTATAGCTGTTAAAGTAATTAATGGAATACAAAGGGAATGAGGTTGGTTCACCTTTTGTGTATATGATTATATGTAATTTTAACAAGAAACATTTTTATTTTTTTTTTAAGTACAGTTGACTTAAGTTATCTGATTTCTTAAATGAAGTATTATCATTATAAATTTTTGATTAGTTTTTCTTTCATCTTATTTTTGTTGCTTCTTTTTTATCCCAATGTTCTAATTTTGATTTAAGCTGTTAAAATAATAAATCTAAATAAACAATTAGTTTACAATGATATATCCAGAGAGCTTTTCTACCATGACTATCACCTTAACTAATTCAACCAGGTGACTAATAACTAGGCAGGGATCAACTACACAATCACTACTTTTACACTGTCTCTAATTCTAATTTAGTAAGTAATACTAGTGGCAGTGGATAGTCTTAAGTTATCTGAATTTGTAGATTATGTATTTTCATTATTTGCATTGTTTATATTTGGACTATTGTCCTCATCTTTGTTGTTGTACTTGCACTCAGTGGAAACGGGTATGTAATAACTGAACAGTACTAAATAAAAATAAGAACTAGACAATATCCTTAGCCATGTGCAGTGGAATGAGAATAACCTAACCAATATTATTAAATAAAGGGCTCAGTTCAGAATTCCCTGTAGGTTACTTAGATTGATATACACCTGAGGAAGACTAGTGGGCACAATGACAGAAATGTTGTAATAACAACAAAGATGAGGACAACAGACAAGTAAATAGTGAAAATAATGATAACTCCTCATCCTAGAAATTCAGACAGAAGATATGTATTTGCTTAAAACTTTCTTGTTCACAGACATTTTTTTATAAATTTGTGAATAAAAAAATTTGTTTTCTTACTTTTTCTTTATAATATGGTAAATGATAAGTATTGCATTGGAGTTGGTGCACATATTTTTATAATATTGAAAATAAAAAATTATTCTTCTAACTTATTCTACTAAATAAATACTGTTTAACATTTTTGTTGTCAGTTCTCAAAAAAGAAAGAAAATGCATAAATCCAGTTTCATATATTTGAGTTTTATTAAAATTCTAAAAATAGCTTTTTAAAAATAAAAATTGCTGAAAGAGTTTACAGTCATAGTGATGTTAAGAGAAAAAAGTGTTTTGTATACACTGTTTTTTTTTGTAAGTATGTTTGTTAAACATTATCAAAAATTTTATATACTTACCACGCAAGCATTAGTCATTTCTTTTTCCCATTGTTTACGTTGCTCTTCAAGTTGATCAATGCTTGTCTTGTATGCACAGTCTGAAATTTAAAAGAAAACTTCAAAATATAGTGACACCAAGAGTTAGTATCTGGCCAGACCCCACACTGCTTTTCAACAAAAAAGGTATGATTTCCTAGTTTATATACCTTTTTTTAAATTATATCTACATCATAGACAACTATGCTTTCATAATATGTGAACTGTTTCCATTTAATTACCACAGAGAATCTTTTCTGCCTGCCACCGGCATGTCTGATACTAAACTCCAGGAGAGCAACTCTTTATGCCTTCTTGGGCTCATTTTTTTCACTCACATGAAGTGGAATGATTATATTGAATTAATTGCTAGGTCTACTGCTAGGAAAGTTGGTTCACTGTGTTGTGTAAGACAATTATTCTTGTCATGATTTATTTTGTAAATCTATAAATCTAACATTCTTTCATGCATTGAATATTGCTGGCATATCTGGTCTAGTGCTCCTACTATATATCTCGAGATTCTGGACAAAATCCAAAGAAGGGTCTGTAATGTAATCAGTCCAGACCTGGAATCTTCACTTCAGTTGCTTTCCTACTACCATGACATGGCCTCCCTCTGTCTTTTCTACAAATATTTTCATGGCAATTGTTCTAATGAGCTTTCCTACTTGGTGCCTTGATTGCATGAAATTAAGTGTAGTACTAGATTAGTAACTAGGTATCACCATTTTACTGTTGAACTAATTAAATGTAATTGTTCTGCTGAATGTTCCTTCATGGTACATGGACTAGATTGGTAACAAGGTTCCATCATTTTACAATTGAAATGGTTATATGTAACCATAAGTTTAATGTTAACATTTTCTTTTATTGCACTTCTCGCTTGTGGAACTCTCTTCTGGCTTTTTACTTCCCAGACAACTTTGATCTTCAAAATTTCAAGTGCAATGTCAATCATTATCCTCTGTTTTCTTAATTCTTGTTCTTTTATTGTCCTTTCTCTTTAATAGTATATTTTTCACATATTCTTTAACACTCAGTAACCTCTTGGATCTTAGTGTCTTTATTGCTACCATATATCTCAAGAATATTGACAAAATTCAATGAATGGTCATTATTGAATAAATTACAACCACTTTCATGCTTTATCTTCACAAGAGTCAGATTAGACCAAAATGGAGGATTGCTGCTATACCTGGGCTGGAGCTGTTTCAGCTCATTCTATCGCTCCGGAAAGTAACTGACTCCTTATGCTATGCTTTATCTTTGCAAGAGTCAGATTAGACTCAAAATGGTGTATTGCTGCTATATCTGGCCTGGAGCTGTTTCAGCTCATTCTATCACTCCAGAAAGTACCTGACTCCTTCTGCCATGCTTTATCTTTACAAGAGTCAGATTAGACCAAAAATGGAGTATTTCAGCTATATCTTGGTTGGAGCTGTTTCGGCTCATTCTATCGCTCCGGAAAGTAACTGACTCCTTCTGCCACGTTTTATCTTTACATCATTCAGTAGCCCTCTACTTTGAGTGACTCTTAGGCCTTGTATTGGATGAACATTTAGTAAAGAAAAATATTTATTTTCTGACTATAATGTTCATCAAAGATGTCTAATGTTTCAGTTTTCTTCATCTGTAAAGAGATTGTCTAGCATTTACTGCCATATAAATTAGATATTACATAGCTTCTCAACATTCTTCAATAGTTCTAAGAATATTTTCCTATCTTTTAATACTTTTGTTAATTTCTGAAAGGCATCTTTCACTCTTCCTATATGTTTTTGGATTTCTGTGTCACACTTTCCATTATTTGTTACTACACTAATAGGATAATTAAATATCTGCCTCTACTTGATTTTGACGTCCCTAAAATGTAATGCACACTTTGGACTGTCTCTTTTATTGAAAAATCTTTTAGACTTTCCTAAATTACTTACCTGCTTGGTCTGTGGTTTGAATTGCTTTCTGATACTTGTTAAATAACTACAAAAGGATAAAAACAAAATATAATCAATAAATAATTATAGAACAGAACCAAAATCAATATAGAAGAGAATGAAGCAATAGAACAGAATCAAGAAATAATTATAGTATATAGCAGTAATTAAAGAACGGAATGAAGCAATAATTACAGAACATAATGAAGCAGTAATTATAGGACAGAATAAGAATTAATTACAGAACAGAATGAAGCAATAATTATAGAACAGAATGAAGCAGTAATTACAGAACAGAATTAAGAATTATTTATAGAATAGAATCAAGCAATAATTACAGAACAGAATGAAGCAGTAATTACAGAACAGAATCAAGAATTAATTATAAAACAGTTTCAAGAAACAATTTAATAGATCATACTAAATCAGTTATAAGGGTCTAATATTCTAGTTTTGAGTTTAAACCAAGACACACATATACAGAGCTCTACACTTTATTGCAGATTAATATATTTGTTGTATGAGGAACTTATTCTCATATACTTGACACAGAGTATCTGTTGTGGTATAATGATTAGGAAACTTATCTTATAAACCTTTTTGAGAACAATCAATCCTCAATAGGGATTTAACTGTACAGTCACCAGCCATAGAGTCATAGAAGGTTAGTCATACAGACCATTGTTGTGATTGATTTTCATTGAGTGCACTATTTTTGTGGTGTTGAGCCATTCTAGGTGAAGCTAATATTTTTTAAATAATCTCTTTGTAAATTCCTTACTGATAAATAACAAGAGATTTATCTATATATGTTTAAACATTTCTACTTTTATGTGCATTTTCATTTGTACTTGTGACTGTTTATTTAAACAGTCATTGGTACATATAGCATGAAGACTGAAGACATTATTTACATGCAGACTGTTGTCCTCATTTTTGTTGTTGTTATCATAACGTTTTGTGCATTGTGCCCTCTGGCCTATATCAGGTGCATATTGACCTCGGTAGTCTACACAGAATTCCAAACTGAACCTTTTATTCAATATATGGGGCTAGATTGTTCTTGTTCCACTGGAATATTTTGTGTTGTTCTTATTTTTTGTACTGTTTGGTCATTGGTCATTACTTCCCACCCCAGGGATTGAATTACAATTACTATGTCACCAAATTCCCTAATGCTTTGTGATGAGTACAAAATAATAATAACTTCCTTTACCTACTCCCTTCAAATTTGGGTGAGCTGAGGAAAAAGATGGAAAAAAAATCATAAGCCTATGTGAAACTTTCTTTGGAATAATAAAAACCTTACTTTCTCACAGAGATTGACTGGTGAGCTGAGAAGAAAAGGAAATAAATTTGCGAGCTCATGTGAAATTGCTTTTGGTCCAATGAAAACCTTGTCTCTACAGGAATTGGCCAGTGAGCCAAGAATAAAGAAAAGAAAGTTGCGAGCCTATGTAAATGAGAAGAAACATTAAAATAATAAGAGAAGTGTGTCTGAAGTCATGTGAAAGGTTTGTTTCAGTTCCTCATGGCCAGCGACCAGCATTCAAGTACTTGGCAGTGTAAAATTATTTGCCAATTATATTATAAGCTTTTAACCAAGAATGCAGCACTTCAAAGAATTTACCATCAATATTCCAAGAATGTTAAGTATTTCAAACTATCTCTCTTTGTCTACTTTTGAATATATGCAACCGTATATCCATTCAGTTAACAACAAATTCTCTTACCTTGGTGTTAAACATTTTTGATTATTATTTTGTGTCAGATGATTTAATCTGTTGTATGAATATTTCCTCTTTATGACAATTCGTTAAAATTATGGACTTTGAAAATTTCTCATTTATTTTCCTGAAACAAGCTAATAACACAACTTTAAACATATAAATTCCTAAATAAATTCCTTATATTGTTTTGTCAAAACTACCCATATGTTTCCTCATCATTATTATCCTACATTAATCTTCTTGGCACAGATAAATCAACTGTTCATTTTAACCCTGAAGCTCCACGCCACTATAGCTTTAATCCACTAGGCTATTGTTCCACAGGACAATTTTGTGAAGAACTTGGAGCCTTAAACCTAACCTGCCTGCTGATGAGTGCTGCTGCTGCTTGTCATGTTTGACTGCAATCATTGAAGCTTTTTTCTCTTTTGTTAAGGCTACTGCTGCAGTTAAAGATTTGCACAATGGCCAAAATGTTGTGGTAACAACAACAAAGATGAGGACAATAGTAAATAGTGTAAATAATGACAACTCTTCATCACAGAAACTGAAACAGAAATTAATAGATATTAAAACAATATTTCTTATTTCTATCAACTTAATATTTTGCAGGCTAATAATGGTGCTGTAACGCAATGTTGAAAGCTAGGGATAATATCCAGTGAGACAAGGGAGACACTGGGTAATTTGAAAAAAAATGGTTTCTTCCAATTCCTTAAAATTCATGTTTATTCACATTTTCTGACAAATCCTGCAATAGCCTAGTGGATTAAAGCATGATTTCATGAATTTTCTGATTCAATCCTTGGACTGGGTAGTGCAGACTTAGACTCAGTGGAAGTAGAGTGAGAAATAAATGAGGAATACTAAATAATGGTTAGGTGAGGTATCCCAAGAGATGGTTAGTGGAACGAGAACAGTCTACCCACTCTAGATTAAATAAAGGGTTCAATTTGGAATTTCCTGTAGGTTACCGAGATCAATATACACCTGATAAAGGCCAGAGAACAGAAGGGCCAAAACATTGTGATAACAACAACAAAGATGAGGATAAAAGTCTGCATAGAAATAATGTAAATAATGATAATTCCTTATATCTGAAATTCAGACAGAAATGGAGACATGTGTCTTACTAATATACAATATACAAGGTACAGCAGAAATACCTCCCATATAATGGTAACATATAGCTAGATGAAAACACCATTACCACTAATGTCTTATACAACTATATATTGGTGCATCTCTAAAACTCTTGATGATCAGAGATTGGCAGTTGATCTTTCTTCTGATCTAGTACAAATTATCCAGTAGGGAAAAATGGCTGGTTATAATTCAGGGCCTCAAAAATCAAATTAGTTACATTCCATCATCCCTGATTGGACCCCAAATTACTGCCAGTCATGATGAAAGGATATCCCTTTGGAGAGGCACCATGCTTTGAGAGACTATCAGGCCTTGACCTCACATATGATCTGAAGTGGAGTCATTGTACTTCCCTATCCACTTCAGTAAGTACTTGACCCCACATACTATCCTCTACATTTACAAGAGCCAGATCAGGCCAACAATAGAATACTGTTGTCATATTTGGCCGGGAACTTCTTCAACTTCTCTCTTACAGGTGTGATGTGGCAAGCCTCTCAGTGCTCTATCGTTACCTTCATAGAAAGTGCTCGGATGAACTACATTCCTTGGTTCCACCAGTTCAAACCTTCACAGCAAGGACCTGCCATGACAGTTACATTGTAGCAAACCACTCATATTCCCTCAGTATTCCATCAGTGAAAAGTAATTTCCACTCAAAAAGCTTCTTCCTGCGAACCACTTCTATGTGAAACTGACCCCAAGAGGATGTTTCCATGACAATCTTAACCTGTTCAAGTCTGGGGTTAATCGTTATCTTCCCCTCCTATCTGTACAAACTGCCTCCTAACATAAACCTATATCTCAAGTGGCCCCTGGGGCTTGTACAGGGTGAACTGTACTGTAACAAAAAAAAAAATATGAATTTGTGATCCTGGGTTTCACGCTTTTGCAATCATCAGGCAAACTAGTTTGTCTGATGATCGCAAAGCGTGTAACCAAGGTCAAAAACTTGTATTCATACAACTGAATATGTTAGCTCTATCACTGATATTGAGCACTTTCCACTAAGTACTGTGCATATACAATAAAATATATATATATATATATATATATATATATATATATATATGTTTTTCAATCAACCCTCATTAATGAAGGAGATGGATAAATTTAAAAGATTAAACAGTTAATTCAAATTTCTAATAAAAACAATAAAAACAAGTTAAAGTGTTCTAAAAAATAATTTTCATTTTTATTGGTAATTTTGTTTTACTGCCTAAACTTTTAAATTTATCGATGATCCTAATTGACAAGTGTTAATCAAAAAGTTGGCTGCTTAAGAGGACTTATACCATGTTCTTTTTTATGGTTATTTGTACATTTTATGCAGTGTGCTCCTAAGAATCTAGCCTTGTGTAAAAGTTGGTTTAGTCTGTATACAAAACTCAACAATAACAGTTGTTCTTATATTTCTAAAAATCACAAGATTGAAGACATGCACATTATATGTTTGCTGTTTGTTTAACAAAGCACAGCATCAAGAAAAAAGTTGTCTGACCTTTTCACTTTCTTTGTTGGCTGCAGTGGTCATTTTGATCGACTCATATTGCTTCTTTAATTGTTCTTTTTCCTTGCATTTCTGACTGTAGTTCTTTTCAGCCTGAAGTTAAAAACGAAAGCAGAAATTATCATACAAAATTAGACATGAATACAATAATATTGTGACAAAATGCATGTCAAATTGGCAGATTTTAGTGGCAAATTGTGGGAAAATGAAATAAAATCAATAAATAAAATATTAATAAAGATTAAAAAAAAACAATACATTTTCCCATGATGTCAGTAATAAAGGAACCAAAAAGGGTTTTGGTCATCTGCACAATTTTATGACCCAACTTCAGGAAAGGACAGAACTTCTCTCATTCCACTTTCCAATACAGTGTTTAGAAATAGTTTGGAGCTCCACCCATGAAATAAGTACAAACTTTACTTTGGTCATTCCAACTCAGTGCTTAATTGATTTCACCTCATGCCAGGCAGTAAAGCCCTAAAACAAAAGGGTTTACAGGGTGTGGAAGAATTAGGAACATAAACATTAATGATGAGTAAAAAAAGAAAAGAGTAATCAGGAGGGAAGTAGATAGCAATTGACATTGCATTTAAAGTTTTGCAGATTAAATTTAGCGAGAAGTATGAGAAAAGAAACTGTTAGCATACAACTTATGGCTACATCTATCCAGTTCAAGTGTAAATTGATGAGATCTTGATGCTAGTCTAGTACTGTGCTTAATTTCATGAAGTTTTGGTACCATAGTGAAGAGTGATATTTATTTGTAAATATTTACAAAATGTGACCCAAGGTTCAAATCGGGAACAGGGAAAAGGACAGTCTTCATCTGTCTTAACTTTAAACTTAGCTAGTCAAAAACACTGACCGAGACAAACCACAATATTCCTAACACCAAAACAACGCATTCTTACTTACCATTCTTACTACACTCACTATAATACCTAATTGTCTCTATGAAAATTGTAACTAATCACTATATGAAGAACTCGTCCAAAAATTACCATGATAGTATTTATAGAAAAGACACAGAGAGGTAACCATATGGTGATGGGAAAGTGACTGAAGCTGAGCTGCCAGATCAGGACTAATAATATTGCTTACTCTAACTTCTGGATCAGAAAAAGAAAACAGACATACCCAAGAGAAATTGAGAACTTTGTTTCCCTACAGTTAAAAAAAGGAATGAACAGTCCGTAGTAGAAACCCCAAGTTTTTGTTGCTTCTTCTCTAATTGTTTATTTGCCAATATACACACATCTACAATACATCAACTTGTGACCTTAAATACCATAAAATTGTTAGTTTAATAATCTTTTAATTAACTATTCATTATGTATAAGATAAATAAAAACAGGAATATGATCATTAACAAAATAAGCACTTTAAAAAAATAGTAAAATATTTGGGGGCTTCAAAATTAAATAAACACATAAATTCAACTATCTAAATAGCAAAATAATTATATCCCATGTATATATATATATATATATAAACATACCAGGGTGTATCAAAAGTACTTTTACAAACTTTGGGAGTGGGTTCCTCACATCAAAACAAGGAGAAAAGTTCACATAAACATGTCTGCAAATCTTTTGTTTTGGAGTTATTAAGTTTAAAGTTTATGGTAGATGCTGTTAAATGTACAACCCAAGGTACAACCCAAAAATACTTTTACAAACTTTTGGGGTGGTTTCCTAACACCAAAACAAGGTAAAATAGCCATATAAATATCTGTCCAAAAGGCCATCACTGTACCTCAACACAGAAACTCATAACAAATTTTCAAAATGTTCTCCAATTACTTCTACACACGCATTCACTTGTCGGATCATTGACTGGTGGACCCTTTCAAAGACTCCTACGTGGTGTTGAATGGTTTCACAGGCCTCCATGACATGTTGATGAAGCATTTCTATAAATGTCTGCTGCATAAACTAATTGTTTTAAGTGGGCGCATAGATAAAAATCCAAAGGATTGAGGTCAGGGGAATGGGCAGGCCATGGAACTGGCCCTACCCTACCCTATACATTAATGGTATATGTCAGCCAGTGAATTGCCACCCTACCCTATACATTAATGGTAGATGTCAGCCAGTGAATTTTCACCCTACCCTATACATTAATGGTAGATGTCAGCCAGTGAATTGCCACCCTACCCTATACATTAATGGTAGATGTCAGCCAGTGAATTGCCACCCTACCCTATACATTAATGGTAGATGTCAGCCAGTGAATTGACAAAAATGTGGATATAATGTGCTGGATCCCCAGTGTGTTTGAAATAAAGTGCCTATAGACAGCTCCTGTAAGATGTACTGGGAGAACATATGGACCTACCAGACAGTCACCCACAATTCCAGCTCATGCATTAATCATAAACTGATGCTGGTGTATCACCTGTATTGTACCATGGGGATTCCCATTTGCCCACAAATGTTGGTTGTGTAAATTTGTTATTTCAGCTCTTCCAAATGTTCCCTTATCTGTAAACAAGACTGAAGAGATAAACAACGGATCGGCAGTTTGTGCAATAAACCATCAGCAAAAGTTCTCTTGTGGCGAGTGATCAGAGGGTGAAAGAACTTGTACACGTTGTAAATGATATGGATACAGGAAGTACCCTCCATACATTACTATGAGATGTACAACATGCTAGTGCCACTTGACATGTGCTGATACCTGGACCACCTCCAACAGACTGTAGAATATATTCTTCATGGTCAGGCATATGAGCGGATCTTCATATTCCTTGATCTATAGTTTGTGATGACATCGATCCTGTTTGCAATGTGACAATAAACAGAAGCATAGGGTGGATGATTCATGTGTCTTCAGTCTGGAAATGCAATCTGATACAGCCATGCAGCTTCATGTCCATTACCTGGCATGCGACCATATGTAAAAATAATATCTGCCTACTCATGGTATGAATATTCTGCCATTGTTAAATGGAACAATTCCCAGTTAACTCACTACTACACATGTTAAACATTGAAGCCAGACTAGCCACAAATATACACAAATGACAAATGTAATCTAGTCTACATGGCAACACAATGTGGACATATGCTTATATGAACTTTTGTTCTTGTTTTGGTATGAGGAACCCACCCACAAAGTTTGTAAAAGTATTTTTTATACGCCCTGTACATATTTATATATATATAGGGGGAAAATGATATAATAATATAAAATCTATAACAAAGTGGAAAAAGTTTTTGTGTGACACATTTTTATCCTTAAGGACTTCATTGGACAAAAGTGATGTTTATATTGATGCAACTACACATGCACACAAAGGAGAGGGGACACTGAAATTTTTAATTTAAATTAAAAACTTTTTCTTAAATATTTGTTAGTATATAGTCTAGCTAATTTTATTTAGTTTCCTTTTGCCTTTTTGTTTATGCTTCCATCACTTTTGTTATTAAATAACCCACATTGTGATAATAGATCTGCCAAGAAAGGTGAAATATTATAAGAACATGGATATAAATTTACTGGAGATGATATAATAATTAAGGCACTTTCTATACACTTTTATCTTATTAAATTGCTTTCTCTTTTAATTAAAGTAACATTTATTAAATAAAAATTGTGATCAATCTTGTTACATTGCATTTAATGTGTTGTTTTGTAAAAGATCCCTTTTGTATTCATATAATCTTTTATTTAAATGCCTTGAGGTTTCTTCTATGTATTTCTTGTGGCAATTATTACAAGTAAGATAATAAATTCTTCTTTCAAGTTTAGCTTATTATTATTTTGTTTAGTATTGATTTTTTATTGTTTTAGAATTAGTGGTAACAAATTTTATGTTAAGCTTAGATAAATTCTTTTCAATTGTAGTTGTGACAGATTTGATGGATAGAACAATATATTTTGATTTGTTGGGTTTGTCAGAATAGTCGACTCTTCTATTTTGAAATAGCAAAAGATGCCTTCCAAAAACTAAGCAAAGTATTAAGAAACAAGAGAATTTTGTTAGAAACAAAGAAAAGGGAGATCAATTGCTATATAATATCAATCCTTCTATATGAATTTTGAACAATTTCTGTACAAATTATGTGGAATCTTGAGGCAACAGAAATGTGGTTCCACAGAAGGATGCTGAGAATACAATGGACTGAACATGTGAACAATGATGAAGTTTTAAGGAAAATGGAAACAAAAAGGACACTTATATTTGTAATCAGAAGGAGGTGGTTGAAATTTTTGGAACATAATAAGGAAAGGTGACTTGGAGAACCAAGCTTCCTTTCCTCATTATGTTCATTTCCGATGTGGGAAGCAAAAAATGAATACTTAGCATTATTAAGAGATAGTTGAAATTCCTAGACACATAAAGAGAAAAGATGGCTTGGAAAATTTGATACTCACAGGAGATATTGAAGGCAAGAAGGAGAGAGGAAAATACCCAACAAGCTTGTATAATGGATGGCAGAACATGGTTTAGGAGAGATAGCAAAAAGACAAAATTTACTAAGAGCTTCAAAGGACAGGAAATTGTGGAGATCTATGATCGCCAACATCCTGAAAGGACATGGTACATAGAAGAAGTAGCTGAAAAGTTGACTTGTTTCTTTTATGAAATTAATAATAGAACAAATTTGGTGACACAATACCTCACATAAACACATTTAAGTAGAAGTCTAGAATCTGGGGCCACAAAACAGGCAAGTTAAAATTTTTATATATCATTTATTGTTTTTAATATATTTTCAAATACATTTTTTTTTCAAAATATATATATTTCCATTCATACAGAGAATTGTTGGTTCCTTTTTCTCTAAGAAAACTTTAACTACTATTTGCTTCAAGTAACTGTAGTCACTTAAAAATAAAATCAATCACTCAAGATATTGTTGAGTTCTGTGTCATCTATGGGTCTGCATGCTACTACATAAAACAGTGAAAAGGACAATTTCTTTTTTTTATTCATTTTATTAGGAGAGAGTGGTGACATCTTAGATTCAAAGAGACAGCAGGAGGAATGACATCACAGAATCCATGTTGCACATTGGATCAGTGTCCCTCCATGGGTGGTCTTAGTCAGTCTCTCAATCTGGGTGTAGGAGATGTATTGACACTTTAGAATTTTGAAGCCCTCTGTTGAATTCACACCATTTTGGACTTATATCCAAAACACAGACAAAGGCAATCCATCACTCTCAGAATACCACATCCACGAGGCACTCAGATGAATCGCTGACCATTCTGGCCCTGGATTTCGCATTCTGTAACAATATCCTTTAGCCCATAAGTGTAAATTACTTTCATTTTTGCACATGCAAATTATGGTCTATTAGACCCCAACTGTAGACATTGACCTACATTTTGACTGCCACTTCTTTTTTATGACATTACAAATAGATGAGGAATTACTTTTCCTTATATTGTATGAGGCTCTCCTTTCAAACTTCATAATACTTACAGTCAATGTCCGTGTGTATATTGTGGATTTTGCTGTTTGACATTTTTTCACTGAGTCTTTCATCTGAAAAAGACAATGACAGAAATTGAGACAAAAAACATTTAGGCAAATATTGAAAATTGCACAAAAATATATTTGTATTCATTTATTTAATTATATTTACTTCCAGGCAAAATCTTTGAATGGCATTTCATCGACTTGATATTTCTGTTAACAGCCATGATTTTCTACTTGTTATATTGATTTAACTAGAATAGCTTTGTTGACTATCAGAATTCATAGAAATTCTGTGATGATACCAAACTATAAAACTGTTGACTAAAAGTATTACAATATCTAGCTATGAAACTGTCAACTATCTGGACCTGTGGAGATTACATGATGATACCCAACTATGAAATTGTTGACTATCAAGGTCCATAGAAATTCCATGATGATACCCAACTTTAAAACTGTTGACTATCAGGGTCTATAGAAATTCCATGATGATACCCAACTATAAAACTGTTGACTATCAGGGTCTATAGAAATTCCATGATGATACCCAACTTTAAAACTGTTGACTATCAGGGTCCATAGAAATTCCATGATGATACCCAACTTTAAAACTGTTGACTATCAGGGTCCATAGAAATTCCATGATGATACCCAACTATAAAACTGTTGACTATCAGGGTCCATAGAAATTCCATGATGATACCCAACTTTAAAACTGTTGACTATCAGGGTCTATAGAAATTCCATGATGATACCCAACTTTAAAACTGTTGACTATCAGGGTCTATAGAAATTCCATGATGATACCCAACTATAAAACTGTTGACTATCAGGGTCTATAGAAATTCCATGATGATACCCAACTTTAAAACTGTTGACTATCAGGGTCCATAGAAATTCCATGATGATACCCAACTATAAAACTGTTGACTATCTGGACCTGTGGAAAATTCATGATGATACCCAATGTTGATTATCAGGCTCCAAAGAAATTCCATGGTGGCTCCACAATATAAAATTGTATATCTTGTGTAACTGCTTTGCTTATTTTCTAAGAATTATTAATTATCAGTAGAATGTTTAATATATCTGTATGTATTAGAAAATTAAGCTCTTCTCACCCAACAATTGGTTGTAAGTCAAAAATCAAAAGAAAAAAGAAAGTAGTTTAATGAATAAACAATATTCATGAGAAACTAGTGGGATTAAAACCCAAACTTCACTGTAAGTTGACCAGTCTGACCCAGGGGTTATGTCCATTTGGATAGATGACCCTTAACTCTGACAGTGTTTCATAAGGAAGTTAAAAAGACACACAGTGTGTTTTAAATTTTAAAGAAAGAACTTTCTCTTGAAATGGGGATGTGGTAACTAAACATTCTATTTGAAGTTGAGATATCAGGCATAGAAGTTTAGATTTGGCTGAAAATGAAAACATTCAGGAAGAAAGATAAAAAGTCAGGGTTGTTATGATTTCATTTATCTCAGCAGAACAGTGACATTTCTGTCATAGCAATGGGCCGACCAGCAAAGTTGAAACTTAAGCATCTCTGAGTTAAATAAATACAAATATTTTTTATAATCATTTACATTTTTTTAAAAGCATTTTGTCAAATTTGGGTCAATTTCTCTTATGGTCTGGACATGTATATTATATTATATTAAATAATAATTGCAACATTTTTCTTTAAAGTCAAATTATAAAAATAAGACATAAATAAAAAATATTTCTTCATTGAAGAAAAATAACCAGCAGAATCTGTCAGCAGAAGAAAAAAAAGTGTGTTTGTTTTTTACTAAAAGTTTTGTGTGTGTCCATAACATTTTATAGGAGTTTTACTAAAGTATTTTTGTGTGTGTGTAAAAGTTTACTAAAGTATGTTTGTGTGTGTGTTCATAACATTTTATAGGAGTTTTACTAAAGTGTATGTTTGTGTGTGTGTTCATAACATTTTATAGGAGTTTTACTAAAGTATGTGTTTGTGTGTGTGTTCATAACATTTTATAGGAGTTTTACTAAAGTGTATGTTTGTGTGTGTGTTCGTAACATTTTATTGGAGTTTTGTGTCCATAAAGTTTATGTAGTTTTTGTGTGTTCATAACATTTTATAGGAGTTTTACTAAAGTGTATGTTTGTGTGTGTGTTCATAACATTTTATAGGAGTTTTACTAAATTTATGTTTTACTAAGTTTTTTGTGTGTGTGTCCATAACATTTTATAGGAGTTTTACTAAAGTATGTGTTTGTGTGTGTGTTCCATAACATTTTATTGGAGTTTTACTAAAGTGTGTGTTTGTGTGTGTGTTCATAACATTTTATTGGAGTTTTACTAAAGTGTATGTTTGTGTGTGTGTTCATAACATTTTATAGGAGTTTTACTAAAGTGTATGTTTGTGTGTGTGTCCATAACATTTTATAGGAGTTTTACTAAAGTATGTGTTTGTGTGTGTGTCCATAACATTTTATTGGAGTTTTACTAAAGTATGTGTTTGTGTGTGTGTTTCATAACATTTTATTGGAGTTTTACTAAAGTGTGTGTGTTTGTGTGTGTCCATAACATTTATTGTTTTACTAAAGTGTGTTTGTGTGTCCATAACATTTTATTGGAGTTTTACTAAAGTATGTGTTTGTGTGTGTGTTCATAACATTTTATATGAGTTTACTAAACATTTTATTGGAGTGTGTTTGTGTGTGTGTCCATAACATTTTTTTTATAAAGTATGTGTTTGTGTGTGTGTCCATAACATTTTATTGGAGTTTTACTAAAGTATGTTTTGTGTGTGTGTTCATAACATTTTATTGGAGTTTTTACTAAAGTTTTACTAAAAGTATGTGTTTGTGTGTGTGTTCATAACATTTTATTGGAGTTTTACTAAAGTATGTGTTTGTGTGTGTGTTCATAACATTTTATTGGAGTTTTACTAAAGTATGTGTTTGTGTGTGTGTTTTTACATAACATTTTATTGGAGTTTTTTACTAAAGTGTATGTTTGTGTGTGTCCATAACATTTTATTGGAGTTTTACTAAAGTATGTGTTTGTGTGTGTGTCCATAACATTTTATTGGAGTTTTACTAAAGTATGTGTTTGTGTGTGTGTCCATAACATTTTATTGAGTTTTTAAAAGTATGTGTTTGTGTTTTACTAAAGTATGTGTTTGTGTGTGTGTCCATAACATTTTATTGGAGTTTTTACAAAGTTTTATTGGAGTTTTACTAAAGTATGTGTTTGTGTGTGTGTCCATAACATTTTATTGGAGTTTTACTAAAGTATGTGTTTGTGTGTGTGTTCATAACATTTTATTGGAGTTTTACTAAAGTATGTGTTTGTGTGTGTGTTCATAACATTTTATTGGAGTTTTACTAAAGTATGTGTTTGTGTGTGTGCCCATAACATTTTATAGGAGTTTTACTAAAGTATGTGTTTGTGTGTGTCTAAAGTATGTGTTTGTTTGTGTGTGTCCATAACATTTTATTGGAGTTTTACTAAAGTGTATGTTTGTGTGTGTGTTCATAACATTTTATTGGAGTTTTACTAAAGTATGTGTTTGTGTGTGTGCCCATAACATTTTATAGGAGTTTTACTAAAGTATGTGTTTGTGTGTGTGTCCATAACATTTTATTGGAGTTTTACTAAAGTATGTGTTTGTGTGTGTGTCCATAACATTTTATAGGAGTTTTACTAAAGTATGTGTTTGTGTGTGTGTCATAACATTTTATTGAGTTTTACTAAAGTATGTGTTTGTGTGTGTGTGTGTCCATAACATTTTATTGGAGTTTTACTAAAGTATGTGTTTGTGTGTGTGTCTAAAGTATGTGTTTGTGTGTGTCATAACATTTTATTGGAGTTTTACTAAAGTATGTGTTTGTGTGTGTGTCCATAACATTTTATTGAGTTTTACTAAAGTATGTGTTTGTGTGTGTGTTCATAACATTTTATTGGAGTTTTACTAAAGTATGTGTTTGTGTGTGTGCCCATAACATTTTATAGGAGTTTTACTAAAGTATGTGTTTGTGTGTGTGTCCATAACATTTTATATGAGTTTTACTAAAGTGTATGTTTGTGTGTGTGTTCATAACATTTTATTGGAGTTTTACTAAAGTATGTGTTTGTGTGTGTGCCCATAACATTTTATTGGAGTTTTACTAAAGTATGTGTTTGTGTGTGTGTCCATAACATTTTATTGGAGTTTTACTAAAGTATGTGTTTGTGTGTGTCCATAACATTTTATTGGAGTTTTACTAAACATTTTTGTGTGTGTGTCCATAACATTTTATTGGAGTTTTACTAAAGTATGTGTTTGTGTGTGTGTTCATAACATTTTATTGGAGTTTTACTAAAGTATGTGTTTGTGTGTGTGCCCATAACATTTTATTGGAGTTTTACTAAAGTATGTGTTTGTGTGTGTGTCCATAACATTTTATTGGAGTTTTACTAAAGTATGTGTTTGTGTGTGTGTCCATAACATTTTATTGGAGTTTTACTAAAGTATGTGTTTGTGTGTGTGTCCATAACATTTTATTGAGTTTTTACTAAAGTATGTGTTTGTGTGTGTGTTCCATAACATTTTATTGGAGTTTTGTGTGTGTGTCCACTAAAAGTATGTGTTTGTGTGTGTGTCCATTTTATTGGAACATTTTATTGGAGTTTTACTTTTAGGTTTACTAAGTATGTGTTTGTGTGTGTGTCCATAACATTTTATGTGTGTGTGTCCATAACATTTTATTGTTTTACTAAAGTTGTGTTTGTGTGTGTTCATAACATTTTATTGGAGTTTTACTAAAGTATGTGTTTGTGTGTGTGTTCATAACATTTTATTGGAGTTTTACTAAAGTATGTGTTTGTGTGTGTGTCCATAACATTTTATTGAGTTTTACTAAAGTATGTTTTGTTATTGTTTTTGTGTCATTTTTATTGGAGTTTTACTAAAGTATGTGTTTGTGTGTGTGTCCATAACATTTTATTGGAGTTTTACTAAAGTATGTGTTTGTGTGTGTGTCCATAACATTTTATTGGAGTTTTACTAAAGTATGTGTTTGTGTGTGTGTTCATAACATTTTATTGGAGT